TCAAGGGCAGTGGACAATGCTAGCCCCCCCCCCGTCCCGGTCCAGAGGCCCCGGGACCTATTCTGCACCCCCAGGGGACCCCCAAACGGCGGACTCACCTGGAAAGCCACCAGACCAGGCGTCAGGACCCCGGCAACTCCCTGTGGGATGAGGAAGTGACCCCGCCGGCACCACCAGAGAGGTACGACATCCCAGCCAGATCTGGTCACGGAGCCAAGAACCCCGAAGCAGTCCGATTACAGGAGGGAGCGTCGGGGAAAAGCTGGTGAGTGGCACACAGGCCCGGAATACCTCGCACACTGACAGCAGCACACCGGGCCAGCATAGCCGCCACCGGCCCAGCTCCGACCACACCCAGGAAGCCGGGACAGCGTCCACACTTATCAGAGGGGGCGGGGCTGGGAGGAGGTGGGAGGAGGTGGGGAAGGAAAGCGGTGCTGGGAGCAGGGATGAGAATAAAAGATGAGGAAATTGGAGGGGCTGGGGAGGAGGGACGTGCGAAGGAACCGAGGTGAGAACAGAGAAAGAGAGGGAAAGCTGAGGCAACACCCACCCTGGCACAACGGCAGAGGGACCTATGAGGTGCTGCCACCCTCGTTCCCTGCCTATCTGAGGCCCCAACGCTTTCCTCACCTTCAACTCCCAGAACCGACAACCCTGCCTCCACAGAATGCACCACAGCTACAGGAAATGCGACACCCGGGGCGCAGGGCGCGCTTGACACCCCCACAGTTGGTAACCCTAACACATACAGCCTGCTCCTGAATGCAGACGTGAAGAAAGGATTCCCCAAAGAGAGGAAGTCTGGAAACCGCTGTCCCAAGTTACCCCATAAAACCCTAAAGTTTTTAATATCTTTTCCCTCTCCAATCCTTATTGCTGTTTCCTTTCACTTTTTATAAGCTCTGGAAATATTTCTGCGTTCCCTTCCCCCACCCCCACCCCCCTTAATGAAGATAAGTGTTTATTGTATTAATTTTGCTTCAATATATTGCCTTTCTTTCCAGCTGTGGAGACACCCGTTTCTGCAAATTATTGTTATTTTTGTTGGAGGCGGTTGATTTATTTTTAATTGCTTCTTCGGGTCCTGAGGCAGTTCACCAGTACACTCGGTTTAATTGCCTTTATTATTTAAGGCTGCAAAAAAAGAGAGAGAGAGAAAGGCCTCTACCTTGGCTCTTGCTAGGGAAGTTATGGGCTGATTTATAAACAGTGGGGGAACATCGGCCGTTTCTCTTCCTTGCAAACAGGGGTGATTCCAAATTCCTGACACGAGCAGTCAAAAGGGGAACCAGGTATAAAGCAAAGATTGAGGAGGCGGCCTTGGAGAATGGGTCACCTTGTTCCTTAGTGCCAAGCTCTGCAGATGACTGGGACGAGTTTAGTTGTCTTGATTTTTATGAACCAGCCCAAATAATAAAAAAGTAGAGACATCACGGTAATGTATTCAATAGCTGCCATTGCAATACATGAATCATCTAATTGACTTGCCATGTAAAGCTTCGTCCTGGGCTAGGATCCAAATCCATCCAATCACATTGCTAGCCCAGGAAGAACCAACCAATCACTGGTCAGCAAGCTCCCTGAGCGGGAACGTCCGTGATTGGTCCTTGTGTATACAACCTTATTGGTTGATAATTGTATAGTAGGTGTGGCTACATTAGCCGGGAGAGTTTAAAAAGGGAACAGCTTTAATGCAAAAGCTGTTCTGGCTATCAGATGTTGATCCGTGTTGGAGTTGTGTTCGAGCTGATGAATAAAGCTGAATCTTTGCTGAATCACTCTTCGACTACTTTGTTAAGCGAGCGACTTAACAATCACCCTGCCAACAAAAGTCCATATGGTCAAAGCAATGGTATTCCCAGCAGTGTTCCCTTGAAGCTGAGTTAGTGTGAGCTAGCTCACAATTTTTTAGCCTCTGGCTCACCCATTTTTGTCTTAGCTCAGGAAGGAGGGCTCCAGAGGCAAACTAATTGATGCAGTAGCCAAATTGCT